TTTATTATATTTAACATATGTATTTATTATCTAATTATTGTTAATATTGAAATAAGAGATACTTATTTTAAAATAAGAACAAAAAGAATAGTGGCATTAATTGCTAAAGATACTATGCCATATTAGTGAATTATGGATATTTTTGAATTAAGTGCTATTGTAATTGAAAGATGTAGATATTTTTTGTTTCAATAGATACATTTGTAGATGTAGAATTTATAGTACAGTAAAAGTAAATTTGAGATATTATAGGAATTATAAAGAAAAAAATGATATACATGAACAAAAAAGTATACATATGAAGAAGTATAAAGGAATCAAAGTAAATCTAAATGAAAATGTAGAAAATTCTATGAAGATTAGTATTAAGAGTGGGAGAATGTTAAGCTTTGTAAAAAAAGAAAAATGAAAGGAAGTATATGAAACAAAAGGTATGAAAGGAAAATAAATATTCACCCAATATGGTAATAATGATAATAATTAAATTACTGCAATAATTTTGTGATCTCAGTAGGTTTTTAACTGAAAGAACTGAACTACTTATGAACTCACTTATTTGTTTCAGTACTTTGGCAGAACAGGTTGAAACAGCTTTAGACATCACATGTGTCCTCTTTGGTAAAGAAATTTTAAATATCATACCTGGTAGAGTTTCCACAGAAGTAGATGCTAGGTTGTCCTTTAATAAAGAAGCTAGCATTGAGAAAGCAAAACGATTAATTGCTTTGTATGAAGAACTTGGTGTAAACAAAGATCGTATTTTAATTAAGCTTGCTTCTACTTGGGAAGGTATTCAAGCAGCAAAGTATGTCGGATACATTTATAATCAAGAAAATGTTTAATGAGAAGCTTAAGTTCAAACTAATGAATCACACTTTTATAGAGAACTGGAAGAGAAATATGGAATCCACTGTAATTTAACGCTTCTGTTTTCTTTTGCACAAGCAGTTGCTTGTGCAGAAGCAGGTGTAACCCTTATTTCACCATTTGTTGGTAGAATTTTAGATTGGTAAGATCAAAAATATTTTGTACTCATATAAAAGCATTAGAAATACATAAAAAATTACTTAGGTACGTGGCAAACACAGATAAAAAATCTTATGAATCTAAAGAAGACCCAGGTGTTTTGTCTGTAACTAAAATTTACAATTACTACAAAAAATTTGGATATAAAACGGTTGTTATGGGTGCTTCATTTAGAAACGTTGGTAAGTATTTATAAAATTATTTTAAGATTAATTATACCTATGAAAACTTAACAAAAATTTTATAAAAACTCTATTATATTATTTCTTCACTAAGGCGAAATTAAGGAACTAGCTGGTTGTGACTTTTTGACTATAAGCCCTAAATTGTTGGAAGAATTGGAAAAAAGTAATGAACCAATACGTAAAGTACTTACAGGAGAAGCAGCAAAAAAATCTGATCTTCAAAAGATTAGTTTAAACGAAGCCGAATTTAGGTGGCTTCTTAATGAAGATCAAATGACAACAGATAAATTAAGCGAAGGTATTCGCAAATTTGCGGTGGATGTTCGTAAATTGGAAAAGTTATTGCAAGAAAAAATACAATCTTAAAAATAAACAACATATCTATACTAAGCATATTCATGTAATGAATGTTTTATTGTAAATAACAGTACTAAAAAATAATAATTATTTCAAACAACAACCTTTCATTGTATGATACATTTCATTCTTTGTTCCTGTAAAATGTGTGAACAGTATACAAATTTATGTAAAAATTATATCTGTAATATTAAATAAAAATGGGATCTTTGAGGAAAAATACATAATGAATGATTATTAATTGTGAATAAATATTAATTTGAGAAATTATAAATTAAATTGTTAAAATATAGAATCGACAGTTATGTAATCACATTACTGTTTTTAAATCTTACTAATTTTAAATAATTTTCATTTTAATTTATTATCGAAATTCATAAGTTAAAATAAGATCCATGAAATTATAAAAAACAAATTAAGAAAGTAACGTTGCTCGTATACAGAATTAACGAATACAAATTCTCATCACATTTTCGATTAATCGAAGTTGAACATATCATTTCGATTAATCGAATTAGAGTGATATAAGAACGTGTATTCTAGTATTCACTTCAAGAATGCATCGTGTTTTTAAATAGTGTAAAATAAATATATTATTATAATTGTACAGATTGATATAAAACGTAACAAAATGCCGAAGAAAAAGACAGGACAGAGAAGAAAAGCTGAAAAGCAAAAATTAAGACAAAAAGAAATTAGAACCGCTAAAGATCAAATAGATTTAGCAAAATTTCCATGCAATGCGGTAATGGTAAGTAATTATACAGATCGAGCAATTAATAAATAAATAATAAACAAAAATTCAAATTTTATAA